ACGACGGGGGCATTCCGTTAGGTAAGTCGAAGCCGAACGTGCCGCATGCAGCTACAAATTCCGCTCGCGTCTACGTCTACGTCTACATTATACGTATATCTACGAGAAGGTGCATTCGCAATCCGGCGTTACGTGATAAGACGTGCAACGGAGGAATCCACTCGACCGATACGAAGAAGAGACGGACGATGGTTTCTTTCCTCGCCTTGTAAGTGGCGCGACGTATTTATAACGCGCTTGGAGAAACGCATTTATGCGGCCGACAGGCGGAAAACTGGCTCTTTAACGTCGCTGAAAATTGCTTTCCGCGCGGTCAACAAGCCCTTGTCCATGATGAAGTGTTCGCAACTTGACGTCACGAATATATGCGAAATTCTATAGCCGCGAAATTTCCTCCCCCCCCCCGTCCCATGCGAAACTTTGAATCGTATCACGCGTGTCGATAAGACGAATAGGTATATTTGTGTACCATCTGCGGAGAGGTATAAAAGTAGATGGATCGACTTTGGCCTCCACAAAAAGCCTTGGATCAATATTTCACGATAAGGAATTTCTGAAGACCTGTGAAATTTCTTCGAGAATCCGGCAAGTTCTCTATCTGACGAGTTTAAAGTGGACGATAAGTGAAATATTAGCCTAGGGGCATCGCGCGAAAGCTAAAATCAATAGCATCCATTTCCATCCGTATAATCTTTCATGTGACGATAAAATATAATATTAGCTTAAAGACACCTCGTTTCTCCTAGATTTTGCGCTCGATTGCTTCGCACAGATATCTCAATTTAAAAGTAATAAGAATCTACGAAAGGATTTCACGGCCTGCTACTTCTCTATGGATATATCGCGTTGTAATCATATTAAAGTAATTGAAAGAAATCTTGGACAGAAAAGAGAAAATTCCTGTTACTTTCATATCTGGTCCCATCTACACGAAGGATTGGAGAACGGGAAATAAAGTGACGACACCATATAAGATTTTCTAGTTTCTTTCAAGTCCCGTATCGCTCGTAAGATATCTGTTGCTCTTTGATCAAAAGCCAAATAGGATATACAAGGTTTGGCTGGTTGCTATGGACCACCCAAGGCTCCGAAAAAGCTTTATTTGACACACAAGACTATTTTTCTTGAGCTATTCAACATTTAACCATTTACAAAAGTGTATTATTGACGTGAAAAATCGATGTTAATCATAAATCGTCTAGAATAATAAATAATGTTTTATATGATTTTTTAAACACATATATTCTCGCGATGTTATTATTGAATATATTCTCGCGTATATAAAAATCTCTTGCAAATGCTTTTTTATATAAAAAAACTCTTATTCTACTAAGAAGTATTATTCCTTGAAGTGGGGAAAGAAGATATTATTCGTAAAAATGTTACTTTCCAATATTCCCGGGCACATCAGAGTAAAACGAGTTCGATAAAAATTCAGTTTAGTCTTCGATGCACTTCGTATATCTTTTGAGAAGAACTCTTACTTTTCCTATCCTCAAATACAAGTGAAAATCTGCGTCGCGCTCGTACCGAGAAAATTGAAGGGGAGCTCTCGACGTAGCAATCATAATTTGCAGGAAAGA